GGTTGGGGGGGGGGGGGGGGGGGGGGGACTTACAACAGTAGATTACGACACTGACTTCATGCTGCTAAAGGGGTAATTCGTAATGGCCTATAACTTCATTTAAAAATATGCCAAAAAACAATTTTAACCTCTAGGAAAAAAAGAAACAGTATCTTTCTAGTTCCCTTTTAAAGAAGCTTTTACTAGTCATATCGTTGTCCTATGGTTTGTATCTAATATACTGTGCAATTCACCAACTGCCGCACACAAGCTCAGCTAGCTCTCTGTGGTACCGGGAACGAGAGTAAAGATTGAGGGCGTGGGGACTGCTCCTGCGTGGGCAGGGGGTTCTGGGATGGATGATGAAGAAAGAAAGAAATAAAGATATAGCCTAGAATTGTTATTGCGATTTGTCTAAAGGGTAACTTATTTGTGGACAGTACAATTGGCGAGGAGGACGAACAAAATAGTGAGTAAGCCAGATCCGTTTCTTGAGTCCCCAGGCCCGCCCACCGTTCCATGGAAAACGTGGAAAATAATCTTTGAAAATTACTTGTTGGCCGCCGATTTGCAAGCAGAGTCGGCGGAACGCCCCAAGGCGATAGTAATAGCGTCGTTGGGCACTGAAGCCCAACGAATTTATTACCCTGTCTTGAACAGTCGTGCCACGTCAACTGCTGGTGCACAGCAGGCAGAAGAAGATGGTGATAAAGACGAATGTACAGAAACAATTGCAATTACTTGCTGATAATTTTGAACCCAAACTAAATGTTGTAGCGGAGAGGTACAAGTTTAAAAGCCGATCTCATGAACCAGGTGAGACAATTCAGACGTTTGTTTTGGCTCTTAAACACTTAGCAAGTACGTGCCAGTTTGCTAATTTGCACGATGACATGATCCGTTGTCAAATCGTAGAAAAAACAAACTCCACAAGACTAAGGGAAAGATTGTTAATGGAGAAAGAGTTAACCTTGATGAAAGCTATTCAGATTGCGGAGAGGGTTGAAGCAGCTGAGATGGAACGAAAAAACATGGAGGGGATAGCGGTAAAGGCCCCTGAGGAACTCAATGGAGTATCGATGCCAGTTGTGCACAAACGCAGGTGAAGAAGAGGTATATGAATGGACCTACTGGTGGATATGGTGAAGACGATGTTTTCGATACGGGTCACAACGCCATTTGGCAAATTCCTCTGAATGTCCGGCGAAGAGCCAGGTATGTCGTCAGTGTTCCAGGGTCGGCCACTTTCAGCGCATGTCAGGAAGTTGGTGGTAGAACCGTTATGCAGTGTTTTGCTAGGGAAGCCCATGGTGAGTGCAGTAGGATGACACATATTTCAGTTACCATTCGTGTCAATAATGTGAATCTACCTTTTGTTGTTGACACAGCATCAGACGTGTCCCTGTTAAGTATGAAACTGTTTCAAAGACATTTTGTAAAAGCAGCACTGTACCCAAGTGGAGTTAATTTGTTAAAATATACACGGCAAAAAATTAACATTGTTGGCGAATTTCATACAGTAGTTGTTAAGTACAAGTCAAAGTCAGCTACAGTAAAGTTTTTAGTAGTAGACCAGGGATGTTCCATTTTGGGTAAAGATTTGATTCAAATGCTGGGGTTAACGATTGAGGGGTCGATTATCTTATGTTTGGCAATGGGAGTGGATAAGTGTAAGGGTAAGGCTACCAAAATGGATTTGGTAAAAGATGAGTTTTCTTACCGATTTGATTCTGATCTTGGACATATTAAAGGTTTTGTCCATACGGTTAAGGTTAATCCTCAGGTGCCACCTGTGATGCAGTCATTGAGAAGACTGCCTCTGGCAATTTGAGATAAAGTTACTGAGGGGTTGAATAGATTGGAGAAATGTGGGGTCATTGAAAGGGTGAAAGGTGCAACCGATTGGGTGTCCCCATTAGTAGTGATCTGGAAAAAATGGTGGGATACGTCTTTGTGTCGATTTGAGAAAAATAAATGAATCCATAATAATTGAAAAGCACCCTCTGCCAAAAATTGATGAATTATTTGATGCTATGTCAGGTGCTAAACTGTTCAGCAAATTAGATTTGAAGTCCGCATATCACCAGTTACATTTACACGAAGATAGTAGAGCCCTTAAAACATTTGTATCCCACAATGTGTTGTACAGGTTTAGGAAGGTGTGCTTCGGTTTGGCTTCCGCCCCTACTGCATTTCAAAAATTAATGTTAATAATATTGCAGGGAATCCCTAATATTAGTTACTTTATTGATGATATTTTTGTTTTTGGCAGGACTAAATCAGACCACGATAGAGCTCTGAGGGTCAAGATTATGGAATGCGCCTAAATGACAAGTGTGAATTTGGTGTGACTAGTGTTAACATTTTGGGGCATGTATTACATTAGAGTTTATAGAGGCGATAGGTTAGTGGTACCTAACAGTTCATTTAATTTATTAAGAACATGAGGCTCACCAAGGGATAATGAGAACTAAGAAAAGATTAAGACAATTATATTGGTGGCCAAGAATGGACACACAAGTAGAAAATATAACTAAACATTGCAGGGTGTGTATAGAACATGATAAAACGGTAAAGGTTTCAAAAGCTCCCATGACACCCATAGAGTATCCGTCAGGTCCATGGGAAAAGTTAGGACTAGATATAGTCGGTCTCTGTGAATTACTACCGAACCAGTGCAGATTTGGCATTACTCTCATTGATTACCATTCCAAATGGCCGGAAGTGTGTTTTTTAATAAACTTTTTGTCAGGGGTGTTTGCGCGGGAGGGTTACTCATTAGAATTGATCACTGATCATGGAGTTCAATTTGTCCGTTATGAAATGAAACAATTTATGAAACAATGAGATATTAAGCATTTGCATTCTGCTATTTATCACCCACAGAGTAATGAGGCAGAGGAAATGTTTAACAAAGTGTGCTAAAACAGACGATAACAACTGCATTCATAGAAGGGAAAGAAGTTAAACAATATGTGCAGTCATTTTATTTGTATATTGAAATACTCCACATTCAACGACAGAGGTGGAACTAGCATTGTGTTACATGGACGTAAATTGAGAATCAAGTTAGATATTAAAGGGTTGACACCGTCAGCAGATGTGATGGTTGATAAATCTAAACTTAAAGAGCTAGTAAAGGTTAATCAGGAGAAACAAAAAACATATTTTGACAATCGTAACAGCGTAAAAATACTGATTATACAGGAAGGAATGTATGTAAATGTCAAGAAAACTGGATATGTACATAAGGGTAATAGTTCATTTATGGGGCCATTTCGTGTAGTTAAGAAGGTGGGGAATGCAGCCTTGCTGTTGAGTAACAGATAAACATATAAAGTTGAAAGGTTATTGTAAGCCATGTCTGAAGAAATTTGGTGAACCCGTTAGACAATGCAGTGCCTTTGATGATTGATGATTTTGGAAATGTACAACCAGAAAATGTCAATGCAAAAAGATTCGTAGAAAGGGGTGTAGATCCGGTTCCATATAAAACTAGGTCAGGTAGAGTAGTAAGAAATCCTAGTAGGTATATTGAAGAATGTAATTTGTTACAGGGGGGAGATTGTAGTAACGGGAACGAGAGTAAAGATTAAGGGCGTGGGGACTGCACCTGCGTGGGCAGAGGGTTCTGGGATGGATGATGAAGGAAGAAAGAAATAAAGATATAGACTAGAGTTGTTATTGAGATTTGTCTGAAGTGTAACTTATTTGTGGACAGTACACTCTCTCACATCGCAGCTATCACTATATAATGCATACGATGAGGATTGTTTGTGTTTAGCTTTTCACAAACCTACAAATCAAGTTTATTCTCATTTGTCAATCCCTAGATTTAAAGTTTGCATACATGTTACAGATTTGGGCATGTGAGGCAAAAACATCAATCAATATTTCTTACTCACTGCTTTTCACATTATTAGTTCTCTACTAAAAACACTTCGTTGGCTACCTGTCAGGCAAACACATTTTTCTTTAAGATTCTTATTTTAACATTTAAGGCCCTGATATTTCTTCGACCATCATATCTTGTTGAACTTGTCCCTCGCTGTGCTCCTTCTCTTCGTCTCCTCTCTGCACATAAATCACTGTTAACTGTCCCAAATTCAGAACAAAGGCATATGACCTGACAACGCACCCTTTCTACCTCTGCCTCTTCCCTTTGGGGAATACACTCCCTCCCTTTCTTAAAGATTTTACTACTTTTGATTAATTTAAAATTAATTTATAAAACATATTTATATAACAAACTCTAAGGTTAAACTGCAACTTTTAATCATTTTTTAAATTGGCGCAACTGTATAGCTTAATTAATAGCATTACTGGCATTAAATTTATACCTGAAATATTTCTTGAGATGGACAACGTTCGGTCGTTACATTTTTACTTTTCTGTAGAAAAACAAGTAAAGAAGCATGAACGATCTATATACTTTTTTAATGATTAAAGTACACTTCACACCACCTTTATTTATTATTTTTTAGTTGGCTCATATAAATTAATACTTTTATGACAATCGGTTGTGAGAGCTTAATACAGTAGTGGCAATACAGGGGGGTCGCAGATTGTAGCACAACACCTTTCTTAGGTCAAGATGCCCTGTATGAGTGTTTAGTGGCTTATTATTCTTCTCATTTCAGACACCCACCTCCTGAACCCCGCTCCTGAACCCTCAACGTATTTTTTTAGAGGTATATGAGACTACATGTGATTTTAAAATTTATAATGGTAAAGATAGGCTAGGTCTATATCACTGAAACTAAGTCAGGTTTCCTTGTGCAGTCTGCACAAAAAAAATCTTATGCTTTTTGGCAGTGGCGTATCCAAGGGGGGAGGGGGGCGCCCCCACCCTCCCACCAGTCCCCCATTTTAATACTGCTAGATACGCCACTGCTTTTTGGACTCGCAAATTCTGACAAACTGTAAAAAACAAAAAGAAAGAGAGAAAAAGAAAAATTGATCGTCGAAAACGCCTCAGAGTTTATTTTTGGGCTTCTAGAAAAAAACAATTTCGTGGGGCATGCCCCGAACCCACTAGGGTAGTGTTATCTCGATCGGCCCCACTTTCAGCACCCCCTCCCCTTCGGACATCTCTGGATCTGCCCCTGATGAGGTGAAGGAGTACTTACTACATGTATGTTAAAACAGTACAGGTGCTTGTGTGTGACTGGCTGATACTTATCATTAACTATTTCTTTCTCATTTAGGTAGACGAGGTACATATCAAAGTCATATGGCGCAAGGTTGAATATCAATTCAACACGTCTATCCCCTTCACTATCTACTATATAGGTTGACGGTGACCAAACACTAGGTAAATCTATTAAACAAAATATATTTATAGTACATAAATTTATCTCAGAATGGTGTTCGATTATAAATACAGTAATGTAAAAAAATAAATAAGGTTTTTCTTAAAATGTTAACACTTAATTGTCCAAGATTGTTATTGTATCATACCTGCTTCAGATATTTGACAATAATAATCATCTTTCTTGTAGAAGCAACCTATTAAAACAAGGGAAAAATTCTATTATTGCATACAAATATAGGTTTGATATAACTCATACATACATTCTACGAGTCCTAAACAAGTAATGAAAATAGTACACACTTCCTACGCCTAGGCGATCAAATGGCCAATCTCTCTCAGCCTCTTAAGGCCAAATCAGACAGCGTTGTACCAGGCAGCCAAACGCGTTTTGTTGTCGCGTCGGGTCTGTGTGAGTTAAACGCAGACACAATGGTGTGCGTGTTGCGTGGGGTGGGGGGGGGGCAGTCGCGTCATAGAATATTAAACTTGTTTATTATTTCTCACGATGGCTTAAGACTGTCCCTGACGATAAATCGCGTCAGGCCAAGTCATATGACGCTGTCTGAGTTGGACTTGAAATTTTGCATCTCCTTTACCGTTTGTCCATGTCATAAATTACATAGCAAGGCGGCCTAGAGATTGCACATCGCGCGGTAGGGCAAAAAATGTTATCCCCCAGGGAAATAGTACTTTCTATTGCCTGCTTCTTAACCAATCAGATGCCTAGAATCTATGTAAGTGGTATATAATATAAAATATATGTATGCTCTCATCATTCAGACTCAAACATTATACGATATATATACATTATATTAACATTGTTAGGCCTATCTTTACAGCACCCTTTTCTTGCAGTTATGACGAAAATTCTAACCAGAACACAAGACTAAACTACTGCTCTTTTCAAAGAATATCCTGGTTCTTTAAAGTGCACTTAGTTTGTGTAAATTGGACCTACAGTTTGCAGTCTTGATCCAAGGAGGAGGGTTTATAACGAGATACGAGGCTCTGGGTTATAGCACACCTAAAGCGTGTGTTGCCTTGGCATGCCATACAGAATTCACCCTCGAGGATTGAAAGAACACTCTTGTAGACAGTAGACAAACATAAGAAACTATATTTACTTGGTGGCCAATAATATGTGAACGCTGCCTTCTCAGTGGATGGCATCGTTTTTATCGTAATCAAATACTCTCCACCAGGACGGACTGGTCTTGAACAGTCAAAGAATATCCTCCTCTATAGGTATATAAAACAATACAATGTTAAATCCAAACTATAAAGCAAAATTACTTAATGTGATCAAATAGACTTTTACAACATTGTTACATTGTTAATAAGCAAAAAATAAAATGTTTCTAGTTCAAGTTGGTGAATGAACGAAAGGATTATTCTTATTGATCATTAGGGAATTCAAAATTATAAAGAAAATACCATCATTGCATAAAAGAAAACTGTTTCGGAAAACAAATGTACACTACGTTGAACTGTGTATAGAAGAACTACATTTAATTATACTCGATCACACGTTATTTATTAAACTTACAACTGTATCTTCCTCAGACAAGAGATCATCATAGGTAAGCTCGTCTGTAAAATTTATGTAATGACAATACATTTCATTGTTTAGCCGGTCAAGGTGCTGTATCTCAATACTTACTCCTCTGTATATTCCTGAGCCTGCAACAGAACGAATATCATATTGTTAAAATCATAATTGTTTCCAGTTTCTTTACATAGATACAGTGATAAATGCATTTGATATGCGACTATTAGACATAAGTGACAACACAACTATTATTATTATTATTAAGCATGAATTGTAATTTCAATAAATATGTGCTGATCATACAATTTCATTGTTTTATATCATTTTAGAGACTTGTTTAAAGACTACACTACAGTAATTTTTTTTACCATAAATGCTGGAATAAGTTCTGCGACTTGGAATCTTTAGTTCGGCACTTATTCGAAAGCGACGCAGACGCTTATAAAAAAAATTACCGTGATGCTTTCCATGCCCGTTCCCATGTTACCTATTTCACGTATTCCCGTTGTTCAGTAGGAAAATCGTAGGTCCTACTTCATCATAAAAATAAACGTTCATAAAGAAATTTTTGTATCTTCATTGTGTAATATTTATGTATTTTAACATTGTATACGTTTTATTTAAAACCCTTTCTCAAAATGTTTGACTACACACAGGGTAATGTATAATACGACGCTTAGCTAAAAAAAAATTGGTTTGGTGCAGCGCTTATTGGAGAATGGCACCCATTCGACCATCTACAGTACTAGGTAAAACTCTGATACGAGCTATGATTACTGTAAACAGTTTATATTCGAATCCCGATGCAAAATTTCTGTTTTATTGTCAATAATTATTACCTATAGCACTTACCATTCAAATTCAAGTCAAATGAAATATTCAGTTTTGTAAACTCTACTGTATAACCTGTATAAGTTGTCACATAAGAGTCGACTTCAATATTTTCAGCTGGTGGTGCTGAGCCATCGTTGCCAAACAAATTGGGGCAAACAGCTAAGGAACATGAAAATAATATTAATAATGTAATCACTACAGCCATGTGATTAGAAATAGGTATGTTTCATTGGTCTAATTAGGAAATTGACTCTAAGAGGTATTACTCAGGGCGCCAAGATGCAAGTGCACGTCCAAACCTGTCTAAACTTAGCACTTTTGTCTTGAATGTAATGTAGCAGTGGTTGCCAGAATATTAATTTTTGCTCTGACAGTTTAGAGAAGGACCCGGAAGATATGAAATAAACAAAAATTCCTACCGACCTACCTATTTTTGGATTTTCCAAAAATGTGGCCAATACAATTTTTTTTGCCCTTATTGTGGCGCCCTCTATGCCTTAGTATATGGAAAACAACTACGAAAAAAGCTTGCCAGCCAACATGTTAAATATATACTGGTATGCTTAAAAAACTGTAAAAATAACATTCAATATTTTAAGGTACTATAGGCTAAATTATTATAATTTTAATAATGCTTTCATAAATGTAGGTCTACCAGGAATCGATGGATGGAACTTACTTGCATCGTTTAGCCATTCTTGCATGCACATCTGAATTTCACCAACAGCATTCTATCAACAACAACAAAAAAAAGAATTATCACCAGTCTGGAAATTGGTGGGGGTAGGAGGTTGCTGATAGGGGCTCGAAGGTGCAGTGGGGACTCAATAATTTGGTGGGGAATGCTAACATGGAGAAAACAAGTCAAGAAGTAACTTGCAAAAATATGGTTATAAATGATTTTTAACTTTTTGAGTGTCATTTTCATTTTGGGGAGAGGGGTAACTGGGGTAGGTTTCGCACATCTCCTTTTTTGTGTGTGTCTATCCTCTCAGTGAGAAATTCTTATTTTCAATTTAAGTATTGTAGTAACTGCATAAAAGCAAATAAAAAATATCCAAAGTCGGCTCAATTTACCATCACCCATTAACCCCTCCCCATGTTTATTCGATGATTTTTTTTTAAATGTATTAAACACTGTTTTACTTAAATATCTCACATTTGTCCTTAATTACTTTTCATATGTGTTATACAATTTATCCCCGGATACAAGTAAGAGGAAATGCACACAGACTTTCCAATTAATTTTACAGGTGTACAAGTAGCAACAGACAAAAACATACAATGAAATATTCAAACCATTTTATATATAAGGAACCATACAATTTTTTTAAGAATTGGCCTGTTATTTGAAGGTAGTTTTCCTAACTTCTTTCTACAGTGGAAGTGAAACTAACATTTTAACTGACAGACATTATGGTAGAATTGGATTAATTGATTGAATGACTGATTGACATATTTTTTATTTGCAACAGCCTTGGTTAAAATGGATAAAAGACAAAACCTCAATTACGATTAGACTTTAGTCGAATGTTAAAATGTTCCAGTTTCCCTAATATTTAATTAATATTTGTCTATTGGTGCTTTTTTGAGGTCTCATTTCCCTTCACCGTCTGTGCATGTTATAAATTACACAGCGACATTTTAGGTCGGGCCTAGAGATTACATCGCAATATGGAAAAATATACTATCATTTAAACATGATAGTACTTTTTCCCCCGGAAATGTATGAACTATCATTTAATCTACGACAGAGGAGTGGTGGTCAAAGTTTATAATCCGCTTTTTTAACCAATCGTTTGCTTGGAATATATGCCGGATATAAATACTTTTATTACCAGATACATGAAAGAGGAAGTACACAAAACCCATCTAGGTCTACTTTCATTACAACGGAGGGGTCCAAGCCTAAAGAGCCGATAAAGCCTTGGTCGATGGCTCTGAATAAAAACTCCCTTGTAAGGTTCACAGGGAGAGTTTTTATGGCTTAGCGTGGTCAAAAATATGATTTTAGATCACAATATTTGGGATTGGCAGTCAAAATACTGTAGCATTATTTGGATAGGCAAATTATTTTTTTTAATGATCCGACAACTTAGTTGTGTGTCGGACAACAGGAGGTCCAGGCTTGTCCGGCGGAGGGGAAGATCCCCCTCTCCCCACAGACGCCACCATGAACAGGGCTGATTCTATAAGTACTATAAGTGACTTGCTAACAATCAATCTATCGATGATACGCCAGATATCCAGAAAAAGTAATATGTTCAGAGAAGGGTTCTATTCATTTTTAATTCAAAACACACCACTGACACTTTATAAATACAATCACTCAACTTTGTAGATTTTGCATGCATGTTCTTAGAACTATCAAAGGATTTTGTTCAGTAGATCATACCATTATACCTCCATGATCATACCCTACTTTTACTCAAACTTAATACTTTGGTGTTTAAAGTATTTTGCTTGGAAATGGTTGAAAGACTCTAACAAATAAGTTATCAACGTTCATGTGTGTATTTGACTTGTGTAGAAAGGGTCAGATATAAGGTGTGGTGTACCACTCATTTCTTTATTGCAGTGTTTGGGGCACATTTTTGAGAGGAATACTATATATATTATAAAGGAGGAAATTACTAGAAAAGTGCCCTAAATTTAGTACAAACACAGCTGTATTGAGCTATTATCATTACTATATAACTTTTGATACATAATCACAAGCCGTTCCGGATCTCTTTGCTATTCTTCCTTCTTCCTGCATCTTGGTACATAAGGCCCCATAACAAAAATTATTAGTTTTTTTTTGCCAACCCCGCCCCCATTTTACCGATGTTCACAAGTAAATTAATGGTTAGGGACACATATATATATAAAAAGTCATAAGAATGGAAACAAATTTATATTTTAACAATATGTTTTTGTTGTATCAGTAAAAATATCTGCAAGAAATTCTGAGCTTTTCAAGTGAAAAAACAAACATACATAAAATAAAAGGGTCAGAATTCTTTGAATTAAATGCATGCACTTCATCGCGGTGTTAAGAACACACAACCAAAACAAAAAAGGTAATAAATTAAACTAAAGCCGACCAACACGATTTAATACCATATCGTTAATTCTTTTCGTGCTAGTTAGTGCCCGAAACACGTAAACTAAAGTATTGAGCTTTAATCATTATTATATAACTATGATACATAATCCCAAGCCGTTCCGGATCTCTTTTCCTTCTTCTTGTATTAAATGTACAATAATAATAATAATAATAGTAATAATAATAATAATAATAATAATAATAATAATAATAATAATAATAATAATAATAATAATAATATAATACTAACAACATAACATTACAAGGGCGTCGGAAGCGGTCCGGCTGGTCCGGTTTAGGCCGGACCAATAATTTACATTCCAATATCGTTTGTAAGCCAATTGTAAGCTACTTTCTCTGACGCAACCTCTTTTTTCCCCCCTTTTTTTTATAAAATTAAATGACCTGACTTCAAGCAACAAACAAACCAGATACTTTTTTTTTTGTTTTTCGTGGGGATTACCCACCTTTATTTGTCCTCTTTTTTCATGATTTTCAATTTTTCGTTTTCTCTCCTATTATACAGTGATCTTATGCTGTACCAATATTTACATGCGTTCACAATTCAAAACAATTTTGTATTTATACACCATTACAATATAAAACAAATTTAAAAGAAAAATTAATTGAATTTCATAAGCATACTTTTTTAAATAGTAGGAGAAAATTGCACATTTCCCGTAATTCATTTCCTCCACGCCTATCCTTACATATATACAATATATGTATTATACAAACACACACATACACACAAATACATACATAAATACACCAACAAACACACCCCCACGCACACACCCACACACATACCCACCAATAAACTACACATATACATAGGCCTACGTAAAAAAGCATACCCCACATAAAACAAACACACATACCCTACAGTGTACCAATTATTAAATATTTTTGTTTTCTTCCTGTTTTTCATTTTATTTAACCTTAATTACTGTACCTTTGCAATAGACATTCTGTTTATACCTTCAACATTTTTTCATTCTTTTATTTTCCTTTACGAAATTTTCATTAGGCCTATTTCTTTTTTCCCTTTTTCTTTTTTAGTTTACATTTTCAATCATAAGAAAAGTGATGTACATCTCAAATAATGTTTACAATACAAAAAAAATTCTAAATTTATGACAAAATTTTAAAAAAAGAGACATTTCTCACATTATACATTGTAATTAATTAAAATTTATTAAAGCCTATATATTTACAAAACCACAGAAAAAATAAATAATTAGGCAATTAGAAATTAGGCTAACGCTTTCAGAAGAGTATTTTTTACACGTGACCATTTCATATTTGCTTTATCTATGTTACATGCGTATTCACTTTCAATTTGAAGTTTAACCTCTAATGTAAAAGAAATCCAAATAACCGTTTAATCAATTTTTAGTTTTTTATCAATTTTCGTTTTTAGACATGCTTTATAAATGCAAAACGTCAGCAAAGACAAAAGCGTTTACCATATTGTTGTTGGTTCCAACAATTACATTTATCCAGCTTATAGGTCTTACGCCAGGAAAGCACTTAGTAATTATCTTGTTAAACCGTATCCATATAGGCTTTATCTTTGAACACATAAATAACATATGGTGTTCGTCTTATACCAGTTTACAACAATTATTACATTTATCATTTTTGACTAATTTCCATATTTTCAGTCTTTTATTACATGGTAAAATTCGATGTATTAGGTTAAATAAAAACTGGGCAACTTTTGTGTTATATTTCATACATTTAACTCGGTGATACCATACTTCGTCCCAGTTAATATGATTTATATTACACTCTAACTCCCACTTCCGTTCAGCTAGCGGAATGGGATTAATGTCTGAAATAAATTGCCAGTAATAAAAAGAGTTTTTTTACCATTTTTTGAAGAAAGAATTGCCATTATTTTTATATTTTTATACCTTATCATTAGTTCCTTTTGAAATTAACATTTTCCATTCTTTTGGTATTGCATTTATAAGGGTGATATTTTCAATTAGCCCATTTTCTTTTTGTAAAAGTTTTGGGATCAATTCATTTGGCGTTAAAAATCTATCGTCTATTGAAATATTACCTATCGATTTGTAACCTGAATTTATCCAAACTTTAAAGTATATTTAATTTTTGCTTACAGTTATAAACTTATTTTCCCATATTGGTTGAGTCTTAACATCGTATGTATTTTGGGGTTTTATGCTCACTATATTATGAAACTTAACGACTGAATTCAACATTTATTTATAAAAATTAGACATGATATTAAGGTTAGTGTGCTTTATAAAATAAAGTTGAGTCGCATTTACCGTGCACTCCAACGGATACAGATAATAAATGGGAATGAGTTTCCATTTCCCACGGTCTGAGCTTAAGAGTCTTTTTACACAATTCAAAGCTAAAGAGTTGACCATTGAATGAAAGTCGACCATATTTAATCCTCTCTTTTCGACTCTTCGCATAAGGCATGTTCATTTTCTCTTTTTTTTTACCTCTCCATAAAAACGTAAATAATATATTATCAACTTTAGGAAATACTTGTTTTGGAACATTTACTATGCTGGCATTATATATAAGTTTGGATATAGCCATAGTTTTAATAATGGTAATCTTTCCAAAGAAAGATAAATGTCTTTTTCCCCACAATTTTAG